CAATTGGTCTGTTAACATTGATTACTGTACATGCTGAACGACCATTAACTTTAAAGAGATACCTTATCCACTGTTCAATAAATAATGATTGAGACAGTAACGTAGGAATACTAAGATGGTTAACTATTTCCATTCATGATTGTCTTGTTGTATTTATTCTTATTACTCCACGTCGTCCGCTTTCCAGTGGATATGTTGATACATATTGAGTTTGTATCGATGAATTGTCAATAAATCTATACACAAGCGTGAGAAGCATTCTGAAATTGACTTTATAAATGAACGATTTCTGATACACGTCAATGAGGTTATGTAATAATATATTTTTAGTGTGTATGAATGGGAGATTTAGTCATAAGCCTTGAAAACCTAATCGATTACATGAAATCATCTGTCTCTATCCGGTTTCTTGAGTTCTGTTGTGAGGAACATGTGATTAACCTGATAGTGGTCTAAGTCATCAGATTACATGAAGAATCTCCATATTGCAGTTACAATGGTTATATTTGTCGCTTGAAATAGAATCACTCAACTAACAATTTTCCGAATTGCTGTTTCATCAAAATCTTCATCAAATATCATAACCATTGCATTGAATAGTTTATTTGCAAATCTCCATCATCTGTCCATCACATTCTGCTTGTTTCTTTCAGTTCAAAATTTCTTTCTCTTTTCCCATCTATTCTCTTCAACTCGATCTTCTAAGCAATCGGCTATCAGGTTCTCCAGCATCGCTGTTTATGCTGGTCAACGACAGGATCACTAGACACCTGAACTGTATATTTCAGACATCTTATCCAAATTCCTTTAGTGTTTATATCTTTCCTAATCCACCCATTCATCTTTCCTAATTCACATTCATTCCTTCTTATCGTAATTACCTTGACTATACTCATTTTATCACATGTTATATCCACACAAAGTTAGGTTGATCAGTTTTATGATTATAATTATATTGATAAAAACTTGGCACCATACTACAAATCATTCCGACCTTCATTCACTGACCTTTCTAATTTACAAATCACACCATCTTGAAGTATTTCTATAGAAACAGATGAGAGTGTTTAACATTTCTCACATATAACATTGTTCAAATCATTCATGCCTGCCTCATTTTGGTATTTGTAAAATAGGACAAACACTATAGATATTTATTGTAGAGGCTGATGATCGAATCAGTTGTTCGCTCAAATATTCTTTCTGTCTGCATCGGAATTCTCGAATTCTCAAATTCAAGCATAACAGTCAACCATCAATTCCTCTATTTGATCACGTCAATCTCTCGAAATATACTAGGAATGTAAAACACTGATTGCAAATTAACGTACCAGAATTGAGGGTTATGGAGATTTTTGTAATCTGATAGTTGAATTGATGAATCGATCAACGCTAGACCACCATGGAGAACCGGGAAGCACTGGACAATTGTCTCTTCTTATTATGGTACTCCTCATTATGTGCTCACTAGTGACTGCTATCAAGATGGATTTCATGAAGATCTAGTGAGAAGCAGTGACCGATGGATTTCAATCATGTTTGTTGTGATGCAGTTACTCAATGGAGAAAATGGGTTGGTTGAAGTTGGACATTAACACCGTTGAATATCGGCCAGCTCGGTGGACCACAGGTTAAGATTCTGCACGTGAGACCGAAGTATCTTGTATCAAATCGTGAGAAGGACCTGACATACATGACATTGATCACCACCCAGTGATCGATGAATTGTAGAAATCACTTCATCCAAATTAGTTGACTGTAAGCATAGAAATTTGTTAGACATAAACTTGAAACTGGATTTACCATGAATCAGTTTTGAATAAATATACCTAAGAGAATCATTAAACAAAAGATACATATGTGCATCCTATCCAGATTGCCTTTATTGAGGCACAAACTAGTGACTATCTGGATCCACTTAGCTACTGAGTCCCGGTAGCTACTTGCTAGTGCGTTTGGGTGAAGTTTAAATACATTTGGTGTTGTTTGCTTGTATCATCCCATTGTTGTTTAGGAATGCAATTGATCGGTCAATTATCTAGAATACTGATCAATTGCTGCTTTAAACAACAATGGAAATATACTACAAAACAACATCAAGTGTAAAATTTGATTTGCCTGTAAACCATTCAATTTGACCAGATGAATTACAATCTGTTTAACACTAATATGAAATGAAATAAGCAAAAACAGATGGCAGGTATCATAATCAAGGTTTGACTTGATCATTTCCATAGATTGTTATAAATAAATCAATATATTTGTGATGTTCCAATGAGTAGAAAAATTACAAATTCTGACGTTTTGTCACTCAATGTAAGTCGTCTCTTCAAATCAGAAATAATCCAATTAGAAAACGTACAGTGGAACAGAGCAAGAATATTAGGCACGATAAATCGAAAACAGGTCTGAACAAGTCAATGTCATGTGATTTCGGTTAAAGTGATTTATATGCGTCATGTATGCAGATATGTGTGTGCGGTTTCAGGGATGCAAACATGTGACTTTTGTGTTGACAAAGGATAGTGTTTAATTTGCATGTGCGTTTAGAGTGTGAATTGTGAGTAATATGAGATATGATAGCTTGGATAGATAGTTCAATGCAGATGGATAGTTAGAACGTTGTTTATAATTAGATCAGTAGGATTAGACATTACACGGAAAGCTTCAGCTACTCTCCTTTCTTTGTAGTTGGAAAAGCCTTTCTCGTCTTGTATAAGGTTGGTGTTGTTGATATTGATTTGGTGGTTGTTGAATAAAGGGAATGATCAATCGCATCTAATATTTTTGTTTCGTTCCTTTGTACCATTTAAACTTGGATGAATTTTGATTGGATTATTTAGTTATTCTGTGAAGAAGCGGCCTGCGTCGAGTGACGAAACACCGGAATATCTCATTTTTCTAATCTCATTATTTTGATTTGAAAGAAGAATTGTTTAAATGAGTCAATAGTTGGTAAATCATTTTATGAATCTATTTATTATGTGTTGATGACTAGTATTCCTGGTTAGATATTTACTGAAGATGTGAAGCTTGTTCAAAGTACTTTTGTGTTATATCAAATCAAATGCATGTCATACATATCTATGTGATCCTGATGTATCCCATCCTGACAGATAACATATTCGGAACGTTATGAATTATTGCAGTCTGGTGACCAAGAATGAAACACTTTGAAATATGGAAGTAATTCAAATGAATGTTCTGTAACTCCACCGGATGGTTTGAACGGATGAAATGGTTCAGATAACAAAAACTGATCAACATTCGCAATTATCATCTATAAGTGCCTAGTCAACGCACATCACTGATGTTTACATCTGGAAAACATGTTGAACAATCATTGGAATGTTTATTCAAGATGACAGGAGAATTGTATCTTGTCACTATCCTCCCTAAATTAGCTTATATATTTCTATACAGTAAACAAGTATGCGTGATTATAATCTCATGTATTTTGTGAAATTTCAAATCATCGGCGTATTTTAACTGAACCAAGTTTTTCAGTACGGAATGGGAAGAAGAGTACGATGACTGGCGGCAAGAACGAATATCAACTTCGTGTAGATGAAAATTTTGATTATCCACATTCTCTTGTGTTTAACATTAGACAAATTATAATCCAGATGATTATTGAGGCTTTCAAGTCCGAACAATTATGTGTACTAACTACTTTAGAAACTTGTGTAAGAATGATGTGACTGTGGGTGGGTGTGGTTCGACAACATTCTTCGGTATTTCGAACAATGGGAATTCACATGATGAGACTTGTATTTCTACAAATCGATGGTATTTTCAATGAGGTAAGCTTGATTTATGCTGAAGTATTTACGATGAATTACTTTAGGCCTTGATTTCTTTAATTATTGAACATACTACCAAAACTGTCATTCTTTTTTTATAATATTCACAGAATTTCGATATAGTGGCCCAAAATTATTCGCTCTGAAGTGATATTAATTGAGTTTAAATGTCTCATTGGAATGATTCGATTTGTAAAGTGACTGTGAGGACAGCTCGCGAGTGAACTGCAGATAGTTTTCAGAAGCTCAGATAGAGACGAATACATTCCACCCAATCATTTTTCGGACGAACATTCTCGACGTGTACCTCCCCTATCAAACAAATGCTGAAGAGCACTGAATGCGAGTTGGATGACTATAATGATGATTTCACTTTTACTATAAACTATAAATAAATGAAAGTTCTGTACCATGTTTAACGCAGTTTGGAATGGCATTCTTTCTCACTCGTCTTCTCATTTACGACTTGGATGGTTCTAGCCTTCGAGTGTTCAAGTTGTATACGATATATCAAGAATATAAGCTCTAGATATAACAGTGACAAATGAGGACATGTGAATTATTATTTTCTTTAATGCCTAGCAAAACTAATCCAAAAATCGGTACTGGATTATGGTTGGGCTGTTGATTCAATCATGAATGTTACCACTGAACACTGAACCAGTACTTTTAGTGATTAATAGCTCGTTATATTACTTGGTGGTTCAGCGTTTCATCCCTAGTGTGTCCATAGGTGCTCATCCATGAAATGTTCTGCACCATGAAGAAATGGCTTTTCAACGCTACTTCATTTGAGAATATTCCATGGCAATGCAATTCATAGATCAATGAATCAACTAGAAAGCAATTCAGTTGAGCTAATAATAATAATAAGGTGAAGAAGAAGAAAAAGAAACCTTTATTTTTTTACTCTTCACTCAATCATCATGTGATCGCTTGTAATATATACAGATTACTTGTAGTATTTATCCAACAGGGCGTATTCATTAAATTGCTGTCGAAATATTGAACGACGCTTCAGTATATAAGACTGACTGTCACCATTATCTATGTGTGGTCCATTTACAAGAGGAGATGAAAGTATAAACAATTCTCTATCTACAAACAGTTCATTTCATTCACTTAATGATTATGTAAACTGCTGGTGTATCGCAACGTATACTGAAGAAAAGGGAACTTTTGAAACTTCAATGAAACATGATTATTATTATTATTAATTCTACTACTACTAATATTACTACTACTACTACTACTACTACTACTACTACTACTACTATTACTACTACTACTACCACTACTACTACTACTACTACTACTGCTACTACTATTACTACTACTACTACTACTACTACTACTTCTACTACTACTACTGCTACTACTACTACTGCGGTGTGTGCTACTGATATCAATGTAAGTGTATATGATATTACTCGTGAACTGAATGACTGGCAGCAGAGAGACAAGAGGATCAAACAGTATTGAATGGAAGTAGAATGCAACTTGTATGAGCATTGTAAATCGTATAATAGTAGTAAATATAATTCAGTCAATATCTGGAATGCTTGATAAACGTGATATTAAACTTTAGGCGTTAATCGATCAGTTTTATATATCTTAGTTTCACTGCAGGTCATTCGTCACCCGAATATCTCAAATATGAAGTATGAAAATATGTAGCTGGGCGTTATTGAGAGCACCAGACCTCCCAAAAACATTACAATTAGGCCTTGATGATGAGTGCTAGCCAATATGAAACTTGTGTCAACATTGGTTTTCTATTTACTAAGTCCAACCATCTAACAACTTAACCAGTTACTCTAGTGGTCTTATTGAAACTTGATCTAGAAAATTCGATCATCACTAAAGAATGAGTTGAGCATAGCTCTGCTTACTACTCAATCATCATTAATAGTATAATTCTAACTTGTTAAAATAATCTACTGAAGCCTATTGATAGACTAATTAAATTAAACATGAATTTGTGTTGGTTATTTTGCAGATCTCATCAGATCGTTATGCATGATTTCATTCACTAAGTCCAATTGATCGTCCCATAGTCTGTATTAAGATTGTTCAATTTTGAACAGGTCAAATATTTCCTTATTTATGAGTCAGTAATCATGACAACAAAACTCTTCGAAACTTTATATCTTGAAAGGGGGTTGCTTCAGTTGATGATTCTGCTTTTCTTTTTTATATAGATTTCCATTATAAACAAAGAATCTCGTTTTGAATCATGAGTGCGGGATGGTGGATGCACACTTCTGAGGACTTCAACAATAGCATGATACGGCCGTCCAGTGCTTCCAGGTTTTTCATGTTGATCTAGCTTAAATCGACTGATGAATTCAATCATTTAATCAACATACATTTAGAATGTAAATACAGTGTTTTGTGCTACTTATATTGACTTCCATAGTATATAGCGCCAGTCAGGAATAAAGTGCCTATCATGTTGAAGGAACACAAACAATGTTTGAAAAATGTTCCAAAATCCTCGATTGATTTAAAGAAACTTGGGAATAAGTCTGCGATAGCGTTACATGCGTAGAAACAGGACACAAGAATAATTTCGATGTTACCAAAGTACTTCAGAAAAGTTTAAACATTCATAAAGAAACATTGACAGCAGAAGCTCTGTAAATATGAGCGAACAAGAACAGCGTGCACCGAAAGGACGATGTTCAACTAGCGACTACTTGACAAATTTTCGTTGACAAGTAATTTGAACCCTTTCGTAATTCAATCTGTTTATTTCACATGCATCGTTATTTTGACTGAATTCATTGAGTTTTTAGCAATACAATTATGTATTTGTTGATTCCTAATTTTGACATGCACTTCGATGATTCAAACTTCAACTCACACTTTTATTTATTGCAACAGTTGAAATCATGAAATCAATTGAATCTGGACCACCATGGAAAACCTGGAAAACCTGTGAGACTCATCAGCAATGCGCATTCACGACTCCGCCTCGTGGGGTTCTAACACAGGACCCATCAGCCTCGCGTCAGGCGCTTGACCAACTAGACCACTGAGCCGGCTGTCATCCAACGGTGTTAATGTCTGACTTCAACGGATTATTTAATTTTTATTCACTGAGATTATTTCAAATATAATTTTCACATATAATGAATTCTCTATACTCGACGCCCAATTTCTGTCAAACTATTCGTTCTAACCTTGACGAATATTCGTGCAAACTTCATTCAAATATGCAGCTTCATCATGATATTCAATTGTTTCCGATAAGCACCTTCTGTCATCGAACAATTCGATACTCCCATTGCTATCCAATTTCCACTTAGGAATTCATTTCTCATTACCAAATCCCATATTTCCAGTTACAGTCGTTTATAAAGACCAAAGAAACCGTTTGATTAGTAAAATAGTTTAATAAATAAATCACTAACTAACTGCATGTAACAATTTTAACTCGGCTGAATAAGAAAAGAATCAAAAGAGACACCACCTAATGACTTTCAGTGCAACTATCGCATTCTCATACATTGAAACTGTTTCTTCTCTATTTCTATGCAGTGAAACGATGATCTCTTCTCTCAGATGCTTTGATTCATTCTATACTTGATCCCCTCCACTGTGATCTTTTCTTGCGATAACGGAATTACAGATTGTTCATTTCAAAAGTCTACATTCCATACAGCACTGGGATATACGCAATTTATATAGAACATGACTAGATCACATCACACCATATAGTATGAAATAAGTATTATACAGGTTAAGTGAGAATAGGGAGATAGTAACACATAGTAGGAGAATAAATAAAGAATAGTAAATCGTATAATAGTAGTCAATAGAATTTAGTCAATACTTGAACGACTAAACAAACTAGACTTCACATGTTGATGGTTAATCAATCAGTTTTACATATCTTAGTTTCACTGAAGATTTATTGTCCCCCGAATATCTCCATAGTGAAGTATGAAAATAAGTAGCTGGGTGTTATTGAGAGCACCAGTCCACTCAAAAATATTACAAGTAGGCCTTGATGATGAGTGCTAGCCAATATGAAACTGGAGTCAAGATTGGATATTCAATCATTATACAACAAGATTAAATGTATGGTAGTATTAGTAGTAGTATCAGTAGAAACCAAAATTCATGGAAGTTTCATATGTTCTCTTTACCTAAGTACAAGATCTGCTACAACAGCAGTTTACACAATCATTAAGTGAATGAAATAAACTGTTTGTAGATAGAGAATGGTTTGTAATTTATTCTTCTGTTATCGATGGTCCACATAAAGAAACTACAATGAGATTGTTGAGGCTTTTCAGAATAAGGATTATACACAAATCAACATGAACACTACAACAAATACTAAGCAAACCAAAGGACGAATTCACGAAAGAAAACTCAAACATCATCTGCAAAATCAATTGTGCCAACTGTGAACATCACTACATCGTAAAAAGCGGATGGAATCTTCATCTTCTCCTGCATGAATATCAATTAGCGATCAAACGCTTTAACGTATCCAAGTTTCTTGCCTTTGATTTCTTCGATGCGGTGAGATGTGTCACTCGTGCTTAAGTCAAAGGAGATTAATTAGACGGCTGTTGTACTTTTCATCATAATTTCAACCTATTCGTTGTGCGAAAGAACACGTCAGCAGACTTTTGAGATATCAGCAGATTATTAGTGGGGAATTTAAATGTACAGAAATGAGAAATTTCCGGCTATTGATTACTGCATACCGATACATAGTTTCACTCTTTAGATATGAAGAATAGTATGACCTGATTTTCATTCACATAGTGTTAGCTGTTTCTTTTCAATGACAAATCGATAAACAGTACAGCTCATTAAGAATAAATTGAATAGTGAAAATGTTAATTGACAAAGTTATTAGAAGTCTCAGCTGAATAAATCCGACAAAGAATAAAATGCAAAACTCAGGAACTGATAAAATTATTCGTCGAAAATATTTGATGAGATTGGTGATTTTGCCAACACCTGGATCGATAACTGAACAGATTCATGCTCATGTCAATACTCGAGGGTTATGCACTTGATTTCATGTGAATTCAAGGGTGGGCTGAAATTGGAGTCCGTGAACAAATTCACTTACTAATCATTTTTCGTTTGAACCCAATTATTGTCTGACGTAACTATTCGTCTTGTCAAAAAACGTACTGCTGATCAAGATAATTACCTTAAGCAATGAAGAGGAGTATGAGTTTGGTGAAAGAGAACATCTTGATGACTTGAATGTTTGTAGTTTTACTTAACGGAACGAGTAAATTTGGGTGTCTTAAGAAAATCAATAATATTTGCATATCATTTTTCACTTTGTACATGATTTCTCTGTATATAACGACAATGAATGACTTTTATTTGTATTATTTGCAGTTCACGTAAACAACGTTGCTCATCGGAGTTTATCCATTCCGGTTGTGAAGAAAATTTCACAATTTGCAAGAAGTGTGGTCGTAATAATTTCACAAATTGACTGTAGTGGTTGATATAGTTAAATGAATATCAGGTTAACAGTTAGGAAGGTGAACGAACATTACAAAACTCGAGGATCTAATAAATATACATACTCATACCTGCTTGAATAATAAATCTATTTGCTGATTGAATATGAGAGACAATTGAACTAGCTGTACATGGGAATTTCAATTAAATTATTATTTTCCAATTTCATTTAATCATCTCTGTCGAGATGATTTTAATGATCATTTAAAAATCTTCAAGTTGAATTCATAAGTGAAAACCTGGACGCACTGAACAGCCTTTTTGTTTTGATATGAGATACTTCACCAGTGAGTAGCTAGGATCCTTCACATGGGGGTCGGATTCAGAACCTACGATCTTACGTGTGATCATTTAACCTATAAGACCACTGACGACAATGAATGACTTCTAGCGGTTACTGTACATGCTGAATGGTCATTAACTTTAAAGAGCTACCTAGTGTGAAACTTCATTTATTGAAGGAGCCTTACTTCAGTTCTTGATTCGTCTTTTCTTATTTATAAACCATTTCAATACATATTTACATGCTCTTCATTGTATGATTGGATTATTGAAGCATACATTATGTAAATCTATCTTTGCTAACAATTGGTCTGTTAACATTGATTACTGTACATGCTGAACGACCATTAACTTTAAAGAGATACCTTATCCACTGTTCAATAAATAATGATTGAGACAGTAACGTAGGAATACTAAGATGGTTAACTATTTCCATTCATGATTGTCTTGTTGTATTTATTCTTATTACTCCACGTCGTCCGCTTTCCAGTGGATATGTTGATACATATTGAGTTTGTATCGATGAATTGTCAATAAAGCTACGTATAAATGTGAGAAGCATTCTGAAATTGACTTTATAAATGAACGATTTCTGATACACGTCAATGAGGTTATGTAATAATATGTTTTTAGTGTGTATGAATGGGAGATTTAGTCATAAGCCTTGAAAACCTAATCGATTACATGAAATC